CACAGGAAACCTCCGACGAGAAGCCCGACCCTGAGACCCCAGGACGTCCCTTGGATTTCGGCGTGGGGACGTCACGCTGTCCGTCGCCAAGCCACCGAAGCCCAAGAAGCCCAGGGCAGCCGGAGGCAAGCAGGGTGCTTCCTGGCTCGGGTCTCCACTGTGTGGCACACGACTTGGACGAGACAGAAGTGGAGGTGCTGGTTTCTCTCGCGGCACCTGGACTCGCAGGGGGCAAGCTCTGCCAGGCTGGCGGTCACTTTTCGCGACGGCTCTGCCCTCGTCCCTCTCGCCCTGCTCGCGGGGGGGCAAACTTGTTGGGGGGGGGGGGACGGGCCTAGGAGGGGAAACATCGACTTGTAACCGCCGATACATCGCCGATAGATCTGCGGAGCACCGCTGGTTCCGCACCTTCCCAAGGGCACCCAATAGCAAACCCGCACGTCCTGGGAGCGGGAGGCTATCGGGATCCTGTCGGTGATCAACGCGCGATTGGGGGTCGATGTGTATACCCTGAGCCTACCCTTAGGTCGGGCATGTCCCCCTATAGGCCGATACTCGACGAAGCTAACTAAGAATAGTCAACAACATATTCCCAAAGGGTCACACAAGGCTAGAATCATCGTCCCCATACTATCTTTGGGTCTACTTTTGAACATGCCTCCTGTAGAGGGACAGGCCCGACCTACGCCTACTACCCCCTCTGATCTGGCGGAGAGCGAGGGGGGGAACTGAGAAGGAGAAGGCCTTCTCAGTACTGCAGGTCCGTGCCGTGTTGACCCTGGCGTTGGTTCCTGACACCGCGCTGGATCGTTCAACCTTGAACGATCGGCCGTCTCCGCAACGTTCGATCGTTCAACATCGATCGATTCTGGGTCGCCGGCGGCGTTCAACCTTGAACGCCCGCGCTGGGGTCGCCGCTGGTCGCAACGCACGACGCAAACCTACCGTAGGCTCGGTCACACGACACCGGCAAGAGTGGCCGCTGGTGCGCGGCCTGCGTGCTCGCCGCCTGCGGGGCGGCAGGCAGCGGCCCGCGCGCTCGGGCAGGGCCCCGGCGCGCCGCCCCGAGGGGTTGGCGCAGAGGGGTCCCCCCCAATCGGCGTCGATTCTGCCTAGGGGAAAACAAACCTACCTCGCTTTTGACCACCCTCGCTTCCAAGAGATACCAAACGATGCCAAATTGAAGCCTGTACTGGTCAGGCCGCTTGACGAGGAGGCGCGTGGTATGACTTGGTTTTGTCTGGAAGCGAAAGCGGGGGAGGTAAGTTGCCTCCCAGGGAGCTTTTTTCCCCCCCTCCGCTTTCTGCTGGCACGGCCCTCCCTGGCTTCCTCCTCGCCGAGCCTCGTGGCCGCGAGCCAGAGGCCACGGCCAGCGAAGGGCCACGCGCATCGGACTGGTCCTTCGCCGGAGTGGCCTCTGCTTCGCGGCCTGGTGACACGCCGACGCGAAAGCGGTCTGCACGCGCACGTGCAGACCCTCTGCGCCGTGCTCGGGCTGCCTGGGGCCGCCTGTGGGCCCCTGCAACGCCCCAGACACGGCTTGGGATGCAGCGCTCCGTCCACGCCGAGGGTCCGTTCCCCTCAGGTGATGGGCCAATGTTCCACCACCGCTACCATGGGCAGGACGGGGTCGCCACTGTGTGTTCGGATCGGCGGACGCGCGCGCTCTGCCTCGAGCCCTCGAGCCCTCCTCCTCCTCCTCCTCCTCCTCCTCCTCCTCCTCCTCCTCCTCCTCCTCCTCCTCCTCCTTCTCCCTCTCACACCTATGGCAGTGGTGGTGGAACGTCGGCCCATCATCAGGACCCTCTCCCCTCGTGGCCGCGCCACAATTGATGCGGCAGGGCGTCACGGTGCGAGCTGCCCAAAATCACCTTGGGAGCGGTGCGCGGCTTCCCCCGGGGCCGTAGGCGACCCGAGGAGGAGGGGGACGAGGAGGAGGAGGAGGAGGAGGAGGAGGAGGAGGAGGAGGAGGTGGTGTAAGACGGGGAGGAGGAGGAGGAGGAGGAGGAGGAGGAGGAGGAGGAGGAGGACGGATCGCCCAAGCCCTTCGGAGAAACCCTCCAGGGAGCGGCCCTGCATCGCTTCAAGGCTTCCCAGAGGCCCGGCAGGGGGGCCCCAGAGGACGAGGCTGTCCAAGCACGAGGATGGTCGGGGCCCGTCGAGTGGTTGGCGCGGGGCCCAAGCCTCGCGCTCCTCCTCCTCCCTCCTCCCTCCTCCCTCCTCCCTCCTCCCTCCTCCCTCCTCCTTCTCCTCCTCCCTTCGTGGCGACTCCTCGCCGCATGAGAAAGAGCAGGTGGGAAGAGCAGGTGGCCTTCAGCCTCCCGCCGGCGCGGAGCATGTGCACGGCCACGAGGACGCCCGAGGACGTCGCGACGCACCATGGCGCCTGCCAGGGGTGGGGCGCCAGGCCGCCGTCGACTACACGCAGCCGCAGCGCTACCACCGGGACCGCTCGCGAGGGGACGGAGGAGCTTTGTAATGTATGGCCACGGTGAGCCTCGGCCACGAAGGGGTCCCCCGACCTACGTCGAAGGAGCGGCCGGGCAGCCAGAGCCCCTTCACGAGCACAGGGTGGCCCTTGTTTCCGCAGGCGCGGCCGCGAGAGCGCAGGTCAAGAGTCTTAGAGCACGGGCCCCTCCGCCGGAGGCCCCAGGCTCCACGGGGATACCCCGAGCGAAGAGCATTCCGAGGTGGAGAGCCAAGCACGAAGAACAGAAGCACAGGCTTCCTGCCCCTCCCGCCGGCGGTGTGGCTCGGACCAGACCTCCGCTGTAGTGATGTGTTAGATCCTGGCGATGCTTGCTCCGCGATGTCCGCCTCCAAGGGCCCGCTGTAGGACCCTGAGGCAATCGAAAATGAATCCCGGACCCCCTGGCGAAGGGATCGAGAACCTTGACCCTGCCAGACCCCCTGGGCCCACATATCGAAATAACACGCCATCGTCGGATGCTTCACAAGACTGAGGAGATCGCCGTTTTGGGGATGTGTGTGTGTGTGTATGCGTGCGTGCGCGTGCGTGCGTGTGCGTGTGCGTGTGCGTGTGCGTGTGCGTGTGCGTGTGCGTGTGCGTGTGCGTGTGCGTGTGCGTGTGCGTGTGCGTGTGCGTGTGCGTGTGCGTGTGCGTGTGCGTGTGCGTGTGCGTGTGCGTGTGCGTGTGCGTGTGTGCGTGTGCGTGTGCGTGCGTGTGCGTGTGCGTGTGCGTGTGCGTGTGCGTGTGCGTGTGCGTGTGCGTGTGCGTGTGCGTGTGCGTGTGCGTGTGCGTGTGCGCGTGTGCCGTGTGCGTGTGCGTGCGTGCGCGTGCCGTGCGCGCGTGCGCGCGTGCGTGCGTGCGTGCGTGCGTGCGTGCGTGCGTGCGTGCGTGCGTGCGTGCGTGCGTGCGTGCGTGCGTGCGTGCGTGCGTGCGTGCGTGCGTGCGTGCGTGCGTGCGTGCGTGCGTGCGTGCGTGCGTGCGTGCGTGCGTGCGTGGTCGTTCGTGCGCGCGTGCGTGCGCTGCGCGCGTGCGCGCGTGCTCGCGTGCGCGCTGCGCGCGCGTGCGCGCGTGCGCGCGTGCGCGTGCGCGCGTGCGGCGTGTCGCGTGCGCGTGCGCGCGTGGCGTGCGCGCGCTGCGCGCGCGCGCGTGCGCGTCGCGTCGCGTGCGCGTGCGCGTGCGCGTGCGCGTGCGCGTGCGCTGTGCGCGTGCCGCGTGCGCGTGCGCGTGCGCGTTGCGCGTGCGCGCGTGTGTGCGTGTGGCCGTGTGCGCGTGTGTGCGTGTGTGCGCGTGTGCGCGTGTGCGCGTGTGCGCGTGTGCGCGTGTGCGCGTGTGCGCGTGTGCGCGTGTGCGCGTGTGCGCGTGTGCGCGTGTGCGCGTGTGCGCGTGTGCGCGTGTGCGCGTGTGCGCGTGTGCGCGTGTGCGCGTGTGCGCGTGTGCGCGTGTGGTGCGTGTGGTGCGTGTGGTGCGTGTGGTGCGTGTGGTGCGTGTGGTGCGCGTGTGCGCGTGTGCGCGTGTGCGCGTGTGCGCGTGTGCGCGTGTGCGCGTGTGCGCGTGTGCGCGTGTGCGCGTGTGCGCGTGTGCGCGTGTGCGCGTGTGCGCGTGTGCGCGTGTGCGCGTGTGCGCGTGTGCGCGTGTGCGCGTGTGCGCGTGTGCGCGTGTGCGCGTGCGCGTGTGCGCGTGTGCGCGTGTGCGCGTGTGCGCGTGTGCGCGTGTGCGCGTGTGCGCGTGTGCGCGCGTGTGCGCGTGTGCGCGTGTGCGCGTGTGCGCGTGTGCGCGTGTGCGCGTGTGCGCGTGTGCGCGTGTGCGCGTCGCGTGTGCGCGTGTGCGCGTGTGCGCGTGTGCGCGTGTGCGCGTGTGCGCGTGTGCGCGTGTGCGCGTGTGCGCGTGTGCGCGTGTGTGCGCGTGTGCGCGTGTGCGCGTGTGCGCGTGTGCGCGTGTGCGCGTGTGTGCGCGTGTGCGCGTGTGCGCGTGTGCGCGTGTGCGCGTGTGCGCGTGTGCGCGTGTGCGCGTGTGCGCGTGTGCGCGTGTGCGCGTGTGCGCGTGTGCGCGTGTGCGCGTGTGCGCGTGTGCGCGTGTGCGCGTGTGCGCGTGTGCGCGCGTGTGCGCGTGTGCGCGTGTGCGCGTGTGTGTGCGCGTGTGCGCGTGTGCGCGTGCGCGGGTGCGGTGCTGTGCGTGTGCGTGTGCGTGCGTGTGTCGTGTGCGTGCGTGTGCCGTGTGTGTGCGTGTGTCGTGCGTGTGTGCGCGTGCGTGCGCGTGTGTGTGTGCGTGTGTGCGTGTGTGTGCGTGTGTGTGTGTGTGTGGTTGTGCGTGTGTGTGCGTGTGTGTGCGTGTGTGCGTGTGTGTGTGCGTGTGTGTGCGTGTGTGTGTGCGTGTGTGTGGTGTGTGTGCGTGTGTGGTTGCGTTGTGGTGCGTGTGTGTGCGTGTGTGTGCGTGTGTGCGTGTGTGCGTGTTGCGTGTGTGTGCGTGTGCGTGCGTGCGTGTGCGTGGCGTGCGTGGTGCGCGTGCGCGTGCGCGTGCGCGTGCGTGTGCGTGTGCGTGTGCGTGTGCGTGTGCGTGCGTGTGCGTGCGCGTGTGCGTGCGTGTGCGTGTGCGTGTGCGTGTGCGTGGCGTGCGCGTGCGCGTGCGCGTGCGCGTGCGCGTGCGCGTGCGCTGCGCGTGCGCGTGCGCGTGCGCGTGCGTGCGTGCGCGTGCGCGCGTGCGCGCGTGCGCGCGTGCGCGCGTGCGCGCGTGTGCGTGTGCGTGTGCGTGTGCGTGTGCGTGTGCGTGTGCGTGTGCGTGTGCGTGTGCGTGTGCGTGTGCGTGTGCGTGTGCGTGTGCGTGTGCGTGTGCGTGTGCGTGTGCGTGTGCGTGTGCGTGTGCGTGTGCGTGTGCGTGTGCGTGTGCGTGTGCGTGTGCGTGTGCGTGTGCGTGTGCGTGTGCGTGTGCGTGTGCGTGTGCGTGTGCGTGTGCATGTGCGTGTGTGTGTGTGTGTGCGTGTGTGTGTGTGTGTGTGTGTGTGTGTGTTCGGGGATATTCTGACCCGGGTCAATCCAGGCCTGGGTCATTCAGGCCTTGCAGAATCCTGCAAGATCCTGCAAGATCCTGCTCCCAAACACGGGTCAATGCGAAGGACCCTGCAAGACCATGCAAGATCCTGCTCCCAAACCTGGGTCAATGCGACCCCCTGGCCCTGCAGGATCTTGCCAGATCGGGCGCTCTGGCCGCCCCCGTTTGCAGTGACCCCCATCTCGGGGCTCCCGATGTGTTGGCCCTGGCCTGGCCCCCCAAAAGCGCCCCTGGGAGGGCCCCCAGGAGGGCCTCCAGACGTCGGGCTCCTGCCTCTCGGCGACGTGCGGCCCCTGGTTTCTGCATCCGCTCGCCTTGAACTGTAATATTCCAGCCTACTTTAGCCGCCCTGACCATCAGAAAGAACTCCGAGCACCAAAGAAAGGACCGAAACTCGAGGGTTGTCACAGGTCGGGCCCTGGGAGACGCTCGTCCGACACCGCTTCGGCACTGTTTCGACACTCTTGCGACGCTCTTCCGGGTGCTCGAAGTTGTTTCCGGGATGTGGTCCTTACTGAAGGGGCCCTGGGACACACAAATAAATACACACTAATAAAATAAACCCCCATATTTTCCCATATTTTCTGGGTTTCTGTCTCCCCGCCCAATTCCCATATTTTCCCATATTTTCTGGGGAATCGAGGATTAATTGTGTCTGTGTGTTTTTTCCTCTCCTGATAGGAGGCCCCCAAACAGATGCGCTCGACCCCACCGCTCTCACGGACTGGTCGCACCGAGGGGCTCGGGCCCCGGGCCCTCCGCCCCCGCGAGGGAGCACCGCCTCGACGGCTCGAGCTGGCGCCGCCGCCGCCTCGAGGCGGCGCGGACCCTCCGAGTATAAGCGGGAGGACGCCAGCTGCCACATTCGGGTCGGGCGAAAGGGGGGGATAGCAAAGGGGGGGGGTGAGAATCAGCTCACGTAGCTGATTTTCCCGGCGCCTCCCGGCGCCGGAGGCGGCTATGTATCGAGGAATGGGCCCCTCGGTGAGGCCGAAACCAGCTGCATGCAGCAAATTTCGTAACCCCCCCTTTCCCAATCCCCCCCTTTCGCCCGGCCCGACACCTCCACGTCGATGGCGTTCTCGAAGCTCCTCGGGCTCTTGCTGGCCCTCTCGGGGGCCTCCGGGCAGGCTTCCCAGACCCCGTCGGGCTGCTGCGCTCTCCGTCGCGGCGCTGCCCCGACAGAAGTCTCGGCTCGTGGGGCCGTCTTTTTGTTCGGGCGCCGGGACCAGCAGAAACGGACCAGGGACGCACCTCCGGGGCCCGCGGGTCGCAGACACATCTCGTCGTGGGATGTCTAAAAACATCTCGGGAGGGCTGGGGAGTGCAGTGGCGACGGGGACCACTCCTGGGCGTAGCATCGGCGCAGAGTCTCAGCGCCCTGAAAATGGAAGATCGGACCGGCTGGCCTGTCAGAGTTTACGGTGAGGAGCTTCGGATCAGCGTGTCGCGACGGCGGCCCCTGCGAGACGCTGTGCCCTGCAAGCTGATGGCTTGTCGCTCTGCTCCGTGGGACGGGAGGCTTGGAACATCTCGCGGCGTTGATGCTCGGGGACTGGGACGTGCTCAGCGTGGCGCGCCGAAGCGAGGTTCCGCTGGAGGCGCCGCCAAGGGAGCACAACGCCGATCCAAGGAATCCGCGCGGACCTCCGAGAACTTCTGTTTACGCGGGTTCTTGTTCTGGCGGCGCGCACACAGGGGTAGGGGGGAAGGGGGCAGGCTTCTCAGAAGGAGGGTTGCGTCTGAGAAGGCGCTGGCCCTACATCTACGGACGAGGCCCGCGCCTCCTAAGCAGCGGGGGTGCTTCGAACGAAAAAGCCTTCCCCCCCCCTCCCCAGCCCCCCTCTGCGCGGGCCCGATGTCGTGCAGCCAGTTGCTCTTCGCGCGGTGGGCCAGAGCCAGCGGCGCGACGTGACGAGCAGGCGTTCCTGGCCGTGGGCGTCCAGGGGCCCGCTCCAGGCCGCCGGGCCCGCGGGCCGACCCTCGGCGGCGCGGAGGAACGAGCGGTCCGCTGATCAACGGACGACGCACAGAGACCTACGGGGAGGAGGAGGAGGAGGAGGAGGAGGAGGAGGAGGAGGAGGAGGAGGAGGAGGAGGAGGGGGACGAGGAGGAGGAGGAGGAGGAGGAGGAGGAGGAGGAGGAGGAGGAGGGGAGGAGTTGGGGGCAGGGCAGGACGAGGAGGGCGCCTAGAAGTCTGGGCACGAGCGGTCGGGCCCCGAGGGGGCTCGCTGTCGAGCGGGGACCCCCAGCCCATAGCCCCCCCAGGATTCCACCCCAGGAGCTCTGATGTGCGTACATCTATATACATATATATACATACATACATACATACATACATACATACATACATACATACATACATACATACATACGTACGTACATACATACATACATACATATATAAATATATATATATATATACATATATATATGTATATATATGTGTGTATGTGCAAGACTGCAGGGCCGCTTCGCGCCACGCACCTTGGTCATTCGAGTTTCGCACGCGGGCGGCGTGCGTGAGCGTGCACGTGCGCGCGGAACTATGCATACATGTCATGCGCGCGCAGGAGCAGGCACGCCATACGTGTATACATATACAGCTACACATGTGTGCATTGTGGTGTGTATATCTAGACGTATGTGGGTATAGTGATAGACGTACATATAAATATGTGTATATGTGTATGTATGTATATACAAATACAGATCCATGATTGCACATACAGATGTATCATACCTACTTGGGCAACTCTACGTGTACACAGATGCATGCCACTATACATGTACGCGGTCGTTGCCGCACGCCAGAAACGCAACGAAGGGCTCGCGATAGCCGAACGACTTGGGTAGGAGAAGGTATGGAGGACACGGCAGAATGTGGAACAGCGACCTTACCTTACCAATGACCGTATTATTGGGACTACGGAGGGAGCCGTGTGAGGGCCTTGGGGGGCCTCGGGACCCTGTCGCAGCGGGGCTCGATTACCTCGACGCTGAAGTTGTTTTGCGCCACCGATCGCTCTTGGGAGGCCTCGCGTTCAGAGTGTTAACGCCACGTGAACCTTATTGGAGCCTCCTGGAGCCTTCTGAAGGCCTCTGTGGGACGTGGTGAAGTCCCGCTATATTGGGGACCTCGTGGGCCGTCTTGGAGCGTCAGGAAACCGAAAAGGGGAGAACTCACAAATTCCCGCACATACCAACCAACGGAAAATCAATGAATGTTGCCTCTTGGGGCCCTCTTGAGAGTGCTCTTGATGGCCTCTTGGGACGTTTTGGAGCGATCTCGAACTTCTGTGGGGTCCTTGCGGGATCTTTTGGGACTCTTGGTAACATCGTGGGGTTTCCTGGGGGCATCTTGGGGCCTCTTCGGGGCCTCCTGGGGCCCTGTCGGGACTGTCCGGGGGCCGTTTTGGACCGGTTTTGGGTCCTCTTGGAGGTCGGGCGGGTCATCTTAGGGAGAGGAACATGTGGCGCGGTGAGACCGTGTGTTAGAACCTCGACGGTGGTCTTGTGAGCTAAAGTAGCTGAGGTGGCAAAGAAATCGACGACGCACGCTGCAGAAGCGGAGGAGTTAGCGCACGTGGCTGCATTCGGATATACACACACCATCGAAAGGATCCACCCACTTGCTCCCTTGAGTTTCACGCGGCAACATATGAAAACCTCCTGCCATGATGTAGGGGAGCCGTGGAACTTTGACCACCTCCCCGACCTTGGCGAGGATGTCCCAACTACGAGAAGAACGGCCCTCGGAGTGGTGGAGGTAGACAACGACGAAAGAGGAAACCGAGTGGCGTGAGGCCGCCGCAGTGTAGAGCACGAGCGCGCCCTTTAGAAATGACGGAGGAAATGCCTTCGACTTCTGCCAGACCCACGGCAAGCAGTACACACTGCAGGAGACCACCAGGCGTACCACCACTGGTCGTGGGTAGAGCCGGCGTGAGAGAGGCGCGCCATCCTGAACTGTGAAGCTTCTGCCTCCAGGCGGTGCACTGAGACTGCGTTCGGTGATGCTCTTGAGCGCACTGACCTCGTCGGATGCGACAGTGAGAAGCAATGGCCCCCATACCACTGGGACCTGAAACATGCGAAGCGACCACCGGCCAAGCGCCACCAGGATTCAGACGAAGCCGCGGAACCCTCTGCCTTGGCACGCTTGCGAGCGGCCTCGAGATCCTGAGCGAAACTATATCCAAAACCTACCATTCGGACGGGCACCGAGGACGCGAGACCCTTGGAGGACGAAGTTGGGAAATACACCGTATGTTTCCCAACCGTGTATGATATACGGCGCAAGGGCGCCCTGGCCCGCCGCCGCTCTTGCCGATCTGGCGCCAAGGCCCACGGACAAAGCAGCGCGGGGGCGCGAGGGCGCCCTCAACACGTAGGGCGCCCCGCCCCGCGGCCGACGGGGGCGCGCGCCGGAGGTGCCCCGGGGCGCGCAGGAAGGGGCCCCGCCTGCTCTGCGCCCGCGAGCGAGGCGCCGGCCGAAGCCGAAGCGGGAGCGGCGCGCCCAGGGGACCCTGCCTGGCCCACGCCCCCGGAGCCACACCAGCCCGGAAGAAATCGAGCGGCGGGCGAGGACAAGGGCGCTGCGCCGCAAGGCGGGCCAAAGGTGGCCCTTGCAGCCCGCGTCCGTCCGAACTGCCCCCCCCCAAGAGGGGCGCTCCGCCCCGCGGAGTCGAGGCGCGCCCGCCCGCCCCAGGGGTGCCCGGAACGGCGGGCCAGTGAGAGCAGGGGCGCACCGACAGGGGCCCACGCGTGCCCTGGGGAGCGCGCGCGCACATGGGTCTCGCGCGTGCCCTGGGCCAACTCGTGCTCGACTCCGTGCTGCTTGGCCACGGCCGCAGGCGTAGGAGCCACCCTCCCTCGGCGGCGGAGGGCTCCTGGGCCCGGCGGAGCAGCTCCTGGCAGCACGCCGCCGCACGAGCCTTTGGTGGCCGCGGCGCCCGCTGCACGCCGGGCTGCCAGCTGCGCGACCTCGGCGTCGGCACGGGCACGGACGGCACGCTCAGCTTTAGCACGGGCTGCTGCCTCACCTGGTGACGGCGGATGCACGGCACCGCCAGGCTCACCATCCTGGGGAGCCTCCCCGGCATCAGGCGTAGGCGCGCCAGGCGGCTACACCAGCTACTGGAGGGTGGGCATGAGCGCTTTGAGCTGATCGCTGAGAGACGCCAGGCGTTGGTCTGCAGCGAAGCCATTGGCGAGCACCGTGAGCGCCTGCACTGGATCCGTCGGCGCCACCCGAGCCATTTCCTGGTATACCTTGGCCGCGCGCGCCGCGGCCTCTGCGCACTTAGCATTGGTTTCGTCCAGAGCAGTCTTGTCGCTTCGGCGTCGGCGATGGCCTTGGCGGCGGCCTCTGGAGCGCGAACATTGGCTCTCTGGGCCTTGTCACGCCTGTCGGCTAGCACGTCCTGTTCGATGCGAGCGCAGGGAGCCTCCGACCGCGGCTCCCGTGCCAGCAGCAAGCGGTGCGAGACGACCTTGGCGACCAGCTCGGGGGACAATGACGCCGAGACACCCTCGAAATCCGTGGGGTCGAGCTCGGCGTAGATCTCGATGGCGGCAGGATCGAGGTAGTTAACTGGGAGGACGCCCGACCGCCCGTGCCATCTCCTTTGCTGCCACCTGGGGCTGAGCTGGAAGGCGAAGCCGGACCCCGGAACCATGCGCCGAGCTGCCTCGCTCCAGGCCCAGGCGCTGGCCCCTTGGGGGCTGGGCGCCCGCAGGTACGGCAGCGCGAGCGCGTGAGGCAGTTGAAGCGGCACCCGCTCCCGCGATGCTGGCACTGCCACGTGTCAAACGCAGCCGCAGCACAATCGCGGCCAGCCGTGAGAAACTGCGGGTGCGAAGAATGAACGCCGAAATCTCGTCTGACCAGGCAGCGAGGTGGAATACAGAGGGGGCCGTCTCTCCCCCGTGCCAGTGGGGCCAGGTCCTGCGCCAAAACGCCTACGGACTCCTCCTCCTCCTCCTCCTCCTCCTCCTCCTCCTCCTCCTCCTCCTACATTACATTGCCTTCAACGCATCGCATCTCACAATGGGGACGATGGAGATATGTTGGGGATACAGGTCCACCCACCGGCGGATACCGAAACGGCCAGCGCACTGGAGAACGACGGGTGGAAAGGGTAGGATGTAGGGCGTGAAGGGGGTATTTCAGGTGATGGGTCACCCCAAGTCCCGACCCTTTCCATGGCCTGCCTTTCATCTCGGAGGCGACGATCGGAGCAAACAGCCCAGGGGCGGGGCATTACATGTATCCCACCGGGGGTCTCGCCCGCCGAGGGCCCCCAGAGGCCGAAGACTGCCAAGAAAACCGTGCGTGAGATTTTGATGTGTGCACTGCAGGGAGGCGGGGGTCAGAAGAGAAGGCCTGGCGAAGGAGAGGACGGCGAGGAGAAGGACGACGAAAACGACGACGACGACCACCACGACGACGACGACGACGACGACCAACCAGTGCCTGGCCGCCCTCTACGTAGCGGTGCATGGATGCGAGGGCCTTCACCAGGGTGCTGGCACGCTCCTGGCGCGGACAGCTGAGTATCGTTTCACCGATCCCCATCCCCAGCGGCGTGGCCTGGGCCTCGCTGGCCGATTGTGACCCCCCTAGATGGGGATATAAGCCGTTCCCTTCGGGGTTCGAGGGGCGCATCCCCGACGGGAGTGGAAATTTGGGGGGGGTCTCGAAGGTGGGGATGGGCATGGGGATCGGTTGCACGATACCGAACAGCGCTCTTGGCGACGGGGCGACGACAACAACGGACGACGGCGGCGGCGGCAGCGCACTCTCCGAGCGCGGGGCGCCGCGTGGGCGCCACCGGCCCGCACCCTGACGGCGGCGCCCGAGGGGCAGACCGCCGAGGCACGCAGCGCCTCGTCCTGGCGGCGCGCGGGTGCCTCAGGCCGCGGCCCCAAACGTGCGAGGGCGGCGGAGGAGGAGGAGGAGGAGGAGGAGGAGGAAAAGGAGGAGGAGGAGGAGGAGGAGGAGGAGGTGAAGGCGGAGGAGGAGGAGGAGGAGGAGGAGGAGGAGGAGGAGGAGGAGGAGGAGGAGGAGGAGAGGAGGGGTGGAGGGAAGGAGGGGGTGGAGGGGGAGGAGGAGGACGAGGAGGAGGAGGAGGAGGAGGAGGAGGAGGGGAGGAAGAGGAAAAGGGGGAGGAGGAGGAGGAGGAGGAGGAGGAGGAGGAGGAGGAGGCAGAAGAGGAGGAGGAGGAGGAGGAGGAGGAGGAGGCGGAAGTCCATGATAAACTCCAATGCCGCCGATACGGCTGGCCAGCTCGGGGGATATTGACGAAACTCTTGCGTTCCTGAGAACACCCCGCGTGATGGCGAAATCCTTGCCAGCTTGCTTGAGTATGATAAGGGTGACCTCGTGCGTTTCTGGGAGACCGTGCTCGTTGACGTCGTCCACTTCGCGGAGTCGGCGTGGTATCTAATGGCGCTGAGGGACAGAAGCCTCTTCTCCGCGCTGCCCACCCAGCAGAGCGCCAATATCTGCCCATTCTGCCGCCGTCGGTGAGCACGAGGGATGAGCCTTATACTTCACATTTGCTCACAGTAACCCCATTACCTTCCAACGAGCATACCATTCTGGCAACTGCCGCCACGTCCCGCCAACGCCACGCCTGATGAAACTCGGCCTCCACAAACTCCTTCCTGCGTTCGTTCAAGGCCATACGCTTCTTGAGCCAGAACCACTTGCGCTCCTCTGTATGGTGGTCCCGATCGCCCAGCGCCGAAGCCAAGTAGAAGTGCGCCAACGCAACATCGCGAATCGTAACTAGAGTCAGCGTAGCGTGACCCAACAAGAACGATGCGTTTTTCCATGATATCCAATGATGGTTTCAACTCCAACATATTTTCGCGCAGGGCGTGGAGAGAACCTGTGGACTTCTGGCGGCCCCACCGTTGATGCAGCGGCAATTTCGACATCGGCGGGGTGATGAGAAGCGTGCAAGCATTGGGACCTTGATCCGGGACCGCCATCATTGAGCGCTGGATTCTGCTGCGCGCTTCCAATCACGTATCAACCGCGCACGGCGCGAGATTCAGCGCCGAATCTGGGACCGTCGTCTGCGAGCGCGGGCGCCAGACCTCCAAGGAGCTCCACCTGGCCTCTGCTGGAGGCGCCGGCGCCGCGCACAGCACCTCTCCAAGCGCGAAGCGGCCCGCCTGCACCCTGGGCAGAGGGGCGCACTGGGCACCGTGCCCCCCCCAGGCGGCGGCGGCTGGCCTTATTGCAGCGCGAGCTCGTCGGGAGAGGCCCTGGTGAAAGGGGGGGCCTGCGCGGGGCGGGGCTTGGATGACGGGGGGGGGTGGCGGCGGAGGGGAGAAGGGGAAAATCGGATGATGATGGCGAGGGGGGGAGAAGGGGGGTGGCGGCAGAAGGGAGGAGAGGAGAGCAGGAGGAGATGGGACGATGATCGTCCTGCAAGGGAGGAGGAGCAGGAGGAGGAGAAGGAGAAGGAAAAGGAGGAGGAATATTTTCTTCTCCTCCACAGCGCGCGGCAGCCCACGCCGCGTCGCGCGCGGCCGACGGCGCGACCGCGGCGCCCCGCTCACGCGGGCGACGGGCGAGACCGCCCGCGCGCGACGGGGAAAAGGCTCGCCCCACGGGCAGGCGGGAGGCCACAACCGAACGGGGCCGCCCCCACGAAGGGGGAGGCCGAACGGCAGGGTCAACCGCACGCCCAAGGGGCACTGCAAAAAAAAGACCCGGACCCCGGGACCCACGAAACGACGACGACGACGACAACGACAACGACACCACACGACGGGGAGAAGGACCGCCAGTCCCGCCCCAAGGCGGCGAGTGCGGAGAGTGAGCTCCCGAACCGCCCTGGGGGAGGCCACGGGACCTGGCAGCCCCCGGGGAAGGAACGCCCGGGCGCGAGGGCTTGGATCCCCAGGGCCCGGTGCTCCCCGCCTGCACCAGGGAACACTTTGGCCCGACGCCCCGCTTATGGGGGTGCCCCTCCGGAGCAAGGAGGAGGAGGAGGAGGAGGAGGAGGAGGAGGAGGAAGAGGATAGGGGAGGACCAGTGTAAACCCAAGAGTCATCTCAACGATGTTGGAATAAACCTTCCCTCCAAGTTTCTTCTTCATAGGCCCCTCCATTGGAAGGCAACAGTTTGAAGATCCTGAAGCATGTCAACACATTGCTCTCGGGATTCCAACGCCACGGATCAACCTGACTGTTGCGTTTTGACGATCCTGAATCGCGCTAGAGCGTCATTATTGAGACTTCAACACCACGAATCAACGTAACTGTTGCGCCCGCCTAACCCTTAATCTTTCCCAAACACCATTTCTGGTACGTTGATCATGGGAATCGGTGAACATCCAACATTAACACATAAACGTACAAGATAAACCAAACATGTAAATACTACTCTCAAAACAAGCGAGCGCGCGGCGCTAAGGCGAGAGCCACATTTTGAAAAGGAACAACCCTCAAGCCGTGATGCTCCTGCAATTTGCAAAAACGAAAAAGCACGGCGCTATAACACCTCTGAAAACGATTCGCCCTCAATCCGTGAAGCCCTTGCAAATGGTTGGTCCGAATGTGCGGGGCCCGAAGGCGAGAGCCACATTTTGAAAACGATCGCCCTCCATCTGCGAAGCTGCTGACAATATTGAATAATCATTAACGGCGAGGAACTCACAGGCCAAACGCCCGCCCGCCCTAGAAACTGGCCTCGGGGTGCGACAGGGAGAAATTACTTACAAGGAAAAGGAATGGAGGTGGAGGAGGAGGAGGAGGAGGGAGGAGGAGGAGGGAGGACGGTGGAGGGAGGAGGGAGGAGGGAGGAGGAGGAGGAAGGAGGGAGAGGGGGAGGAGGAGAGAGGAGGAGGAGGAGGAGGAGGAGGAGGAGGAGGAGGAGGAGGAGGAGGAGGAGGGAGGAGGAGGAGAGGAGGAGGAGGGGGGGAAGGAGGAGGGAGGGGGGAGGGAGGGAGGAGGGAGGGAGGACGAGGGAAGAGTGAGCTCCACATCCCCCCCGCACGCCCCCCCTGCGGCGGGGGCGGGGCGCCGCGCCTCGCCCCCCGCGTTGTAGGCGGCGTTCGTCTTGGCGACGAGGCGGCCGCGCTTCCGCTGCTGACGCGCGCGCGCGCAGACGGCCGCCGGCGCTGGCCGCCTCGAGGCCCGAGGCTCGAGGCCCGAGCCTCGACCCTCGAGGATCGAGGGGGTGGGTTCGCTCTGCACGTGAGGACACGACACGCATTAGAAAAGCGGACGCGGGCATGGGACGACTCGAACTACGTCCGCGGAGAAGTGCTCAATATCACACCTTGATCAACGAGAGGGGAGACGCCTTGATCAACGAGGGGGTGGGGCCACGAAACGTGTGAGGGGTGTGCCGAAATTGGTGTGGGGGGGGGGCGCATGGGGGCGGTGGCACTGGGGCCTTCGGTGGAGCTCCCTGTGGGGCCACGATATTTGTGGGGGCCTCGAGGCCTCCGAGGCCTCCGCGGCCTCCGAGCCCCGGTCCTCGAGCGGCCTCGAGATCGAGCGGCCGGGCTGCTGCAGCAGCTCTCGGGAGGGGGGGGGGTCGGCCCGCTCGCCCCCCTCGGGCGGGGGCCCACAGGGCCCACCTCCCTGCGGGCCCCCCCACCTCCACGGCGGATCGACGCTCGGAGGGGCACTCGAGGCGGCGCGGCGCGGCGCGGCTCGAGGACGTTGAGGGCACCGACGGTGGGCCAATTTTCCACCACCACTGACATAGGTAGGGCGGAGGAGAAGGGAGGATAAGGAAGTTCTCCTCCTCCTACTCCTCCTCCTCCTCCTCCTCATCATCATCATCAACATCATCATCATCATCCTCCTCCTCCTCCTAACTCCTCCTCCTCATCCTCCTCCTCCTCCTCCTCCTCCTCCTCCTCCTCCTCCTCCTCCTCATCCTCATCATCATCATCATCATCATCATCATCATCATCATCATCATCATCATCATCATCATCATCATCATCATCATCATCATCATCATCATCATCATCATCTCCCTCCTCCTCCTCCTCCTCCTCATCATCATCATTCCTCCTCCTCCTCCTCCTCCTCCTCCTCCTCCTCCTCCTCAGGTCTTCGGGCGCCCTGGCCCTCGAGCCCCGCTGTGCCGAGGGGCCCCGTGGGAGAGCTCCGACTCCGAAGCCCTGCGTGAGACCTTTGGAGCCCTGATTCGTGGCCACCTCTTCTCCGCGGGCCTTGCCTGGGTTGCTTTTTGACCAGAACCCTGGGACATGGGACATACAAATAAACAGACACAAATAACAGGATGTCCTACACTTTCCCATATTTTCAGGGTTTCTGTATTCACCCCCTCTTCCCATATTGTCCTACAGTTCTGGGGGATCGACGATTACTTGTGTCTGTGTGTTTGTTCCCCCTGAAGAATATCATGGCGAATGCAGCCGCAGTCGTCGGGGATCTACTGACCTGGGTCAATGCAAACCCGGGTCAGTCGGGCACTGCAGGATCCTGCGAGATCCTGCAGGATCCTGCAGCATCTTGCGCCCTGACCCAGGTCAATGCGCCCCTGGCTCTGCAGGATCCTGCAAGATCTGGCTGCTCCAAGATCCCCCTGGCTCCTCCTTCCCATGGATCCGGCTGCTCCAAGTTTTCCGATGCGTGGGCCCCTGAGGTCCGGAGCACCTCCCCAGGGCCGGCTTTTCGTCCCGAGTCGTTTTGTTGGTGCTCCCGAGGCGTCGAGATGGCCCCCAGAGGCTGAAAGCGGTCGAAAACCGCCCGCGCAAACGTTGGTTAGAGCGTCGGACCTCTGGGCCTGCAGGATCCTACAAGATCCAGCGCCCTGGCTGACCCCCGTTTGTGTTCGAGTATCGTTTGACCGATCCCCATCCCCAGCGGCGTGGCCTGGGCCCCACTGGCCGATTTACCCCCCTAGATGGGGATATCGCTCGTTCCCTTCGGGTTTCGACGGGTGTATCCCTAAAGTATTGAACCTCGTCAACTTTCCCG